TGGTAGTGTAGTGTACTGTGAGTGTGAGCTGGTTGGTATTGTAGTGTACTGTGAGTGTGAGCTGGTTGGTATTGTATTGTAGTGTACTGTGAGTGTGAGCTGGTTGGAAGTGTAGTGTACTGTGAGTGTTAGCTGGTTGGTAGTGTAGTGTACTGTGAGTGTGAGCTGGTTGGTATTGTAGTGTACTGTAAGTGTAAGCTGGTTGGTATTGTAGTGTACTGTGAGTGTGAGCTGGTTGGTAGTGTAGTGTACTGTGAGTGTAAGCTGGTTGGTATTGTAGTGTACTGTGAGTGTGAGCTGGTTGGTATTGTAGTGTAGTGTACTGTGAGTGTGAGCTGGTTGGTAGTGTAGTGTACTGTGAGTGTAAGCTGGTTGGTATTGTAGTGTACTGTGAGTGTGAGCTGGTTAGCATTGTAGTGTACTGTGAGTGTGAACTGGTTGGTATTGTAGTGTAGTGTACTGTGAGTGTGAGCTGGTTGGTAGTGTAGTGTACTGTGAGTGTAAGCTGGTTGGTATTGTAGTGTACTGTGAGTGTGAGCTGGTTAGTATTGTAGTGTACTGTGAGTGTGAGCTGGTTGGTATTGTAGTGTACTGTGAGTGTGAACTGGTTGGTATTGTAGTGTACTGTGAGTGTGAGCTGGTTGGTATTGTAGTGTACTGTGAGTGTGAGCTGGTTGGTATTGTAGTGTACTGTGAGTGTGAGCTGGTTGGTATTGTAGTGTACTGTGAGTGTGAACTGGTTGGTATTGTAGTGTACTGTGAGTGTGAGCTGGTTTGTAGTGTAGTGTACTGTGAGTGTGAGCTGGTTGGTATTGTAGTGTACTGTGAGTGTGAGCTGGTTTGTAGTGTAGTGTACTGTGAGTGTGAGCTGGTTGGTATTGTAGTGTACTGTGAGTGTGAACTGGTTGGTATTGTAGTGTACTGTGAGTGTGAGCTGGTTTGTAGTGTAGTGTACTGTGAGTGTGAACTGGTTGGTATCGTACTGTAACGTTGTGTGTGAGCTGGTTCAGTTGGTATCGTACTGTAACGTTGTGTGTGAGCAGGTTCAGTTGGTATCGTACTGTAACGTTGTGTGTGAGCAGGTTCAGTTGGTATCGTACTGTAACGTTGTGTGTGAGCAGGTTCAGTTGGTATCGTACTGTAACGTTGTGTGGGCCACTGACTGTAACTGATGATACCTGGTCTATAACATGTACCTGGTCTATAACATGTACCTGGTCTATAACATGTACCTGGTCTACAACATGTACCTGGTCTACAACATGTACCTGGTCTATAACATGTACCTGGTCTACAACATGTACCTGGTCTATAACATGTACCTGGTCTATAACATGTACCTGGTCTACAACATGTACCTGGTCTATAACATGTACCTGGTCTATAACATGTACCTGGTCTACAACATGTACCTGGTCTACAACATGTACCTGGTCTATAACATGTACCTGGTCTACAACATGTACCTGGTCTATAACATGTACCTGGTCTATAACATGTACCTGGTCTACAACATGTACCTGGTCTATAACATGTACCTGGTCTATAACATGTACCTGGTCTATAACATGTACCTGGTCTATAACATGTACCTGGTCTATAACATGTACCTGGTCTATAACATGTACCTGGTCTACAACCTTGGTTGTGCCCTGAGGAGTGACTTGAAGTTAAATGTAGAGTAAACTAGTGTTAGATTCAGATGGACCAAAAGGGCAGAATGGAAAATGTGACATACATGTGGGATCTTTTGTCATTTTCTGTTAATTTCCTGATTGTACATTTGTCGACACCCAGCAGGTGAGCTACCGTGCACGGCTGCCATTCGTTATAGTGTGTCTTGTCCTTAACTGCTCTGTGGAAGAGCTTTGTTTTTTTTTTGTCAACAGAGGCTTAACAACACAGCAGGGCCAGCCAGCCAGCCAGTCAGTCAGTCAGCCAGCCAGCCAGCCAGCCAGCCAGTCAGCCAGCCAATCAGTCAACCAGTCCGCATTTCAGTCAACCAGTCCGCCAGCCAGTTAGTCAGCCAGCCAGCCAGCCAGTCAGTCAGCCATTCAGTTCACCAGTCTGCCAGTCCGCCAATCAGCCAGCCAGCCAGTCAACCATTCCGCCATTCAGTCAACCAGTCCGCCATTCAGTCAACCAGTCCGCCATTCAGTCAACCAGTCCGCCAGCCAGTCAACCAGTCTATCAGTCAGCCAGTCAGCCAGTCAGTCCGCCAGTCAGTCAGCCAGCCATTCAGTCCGCCAGTCAGCCAGCCATTCAGTCCGCCAGTCAGCCAGCCATTCAGTCCGCCAGTCAGCCAGTCAGCCAGTCAATTACTCTGATCAACCAGGGCTCAGAGGGAGACATGCTGAAGAGAGAGAGAGAGGCTGATTTGTTTACAGCAACAGTCTGTCAGTCTGTCAGTCTGTCAGTCTGTCAGTCTGTCTCAGGAGAACTCCTCTAACAGGCCTGCTGTCTCCTGGCTGCCTAGAGATGTCTGATAACAGGCCTGCTGTCTCCTGGCTGCCTAGAGATGTCTGATAACAGGCCTGCTGTCTCCTGGCTGCCTAGAGATGTCTGATAACAGGCCTGCTGTCTCCTGGCTGCCTAGAGATGTCTGATAACAGGCCTGCTGTCTCCTGGCTGCCTAGAGATGTCTGATAACAGGCCTGCTGTCTCCTGGCTGCCTAGAGATGTCTGATAACAGGCCTGCTGTCTCCTGGCTGCCTAGAGATGTCTGATAACAGGCCTGCTGTATCCATGAATACACAGCAGGGTCTGTTACACAGTGTACTGTGACTATACAAGTGTGAAGACGCTCTCTTCTCTTCACAAGAGACATTTGCTTACTTGCTTATGGCGGCGCGATGCGCAGGATGACGGGATGCCATAGCTCTCTGTTGTTCATGACAGCTAGTATTGTAGGTCCTCTCAATGAATAAAGATATACTTATTATTTTCTTCCTCACAAGAATCATGTGAAAGTAGAGAACTATGCATGCATACAGCGAATACAGAGTTCTGGATTCTACTGTCATATATTTTCTCCTACAGTCAGTTTTTCACATCACAATATCTCAGGTCTAGATTATGTTAAGCATTGTTTGATACATGACTTAGTGAAAATCATTGCACATACATGCGGCCTATGCATTTGACTGATTGTATTCGATTGAACATCTATCAAATCGAGATGAATTCATATTCTTACTTGACACGCTCAACATTTAAATGCTTGTTCTTGGATTTTCTGCAGCTTTCCGAGTTAAATAAATCTAAATAAATTAGCTTTCATCATGCATTAAATCATTTACTACTTTTTCCAGCTAAACTTTTAGACTGAAATCCAGTGAGCATATGAAGTCATGTCTGTGTGAAAGATGAGTTGGTCAGTTGGAAAGCACTGCTTTAAAACACAACGGCTACATCCCAAATGGCACCCTATTCCCTATATAGTGCACTAGTCAAAAGTAGTATAAAGGGAATGGGGTGCTATTTGGAACACAGTCAACAGCTGGTGCTGCTGCTGTTCCATTGACACGCCACTACTATACTGTTCATCATTGGCTTAATAAAGCATAATAAAGGAAATGGCTTAAATCATCCCCGATAATGAACAGGATTTACTGTTAGGTGAGGGGTTGAGACTAGGAAAAGAAAAGGTACTCTTAGGAAGCATTTACATTCCTTATGCTTCAATGTCATTAACCCAGTTTAACCTAACTGGCAGAGCAACAGTGATGAACCATGAGATTGATGTATGGATGGCTGATGTGTGGTTGATGTATAGATGGATGATGTGAAGTTGATGGATGATGTGTGGTTGATGTATAGATGGATGATGTGAAGTTGATGGATGATGTGTGGTTGATGTATGAATAAATGATGTGTGGTTGATGTATGGATGGCTGATGTGTGGTTGATATATAAATGGATGATGTGTGGTTGATGTATGGATGGATGATGTGTGGTTGATGTATGAATAAATGATGTGTGGTTGATGTATAGATGGATGATATGTGGTTGATGTATGGATGGATGATGTGTGGTTCATGTATAGATGGATGATACTGGGTGATGTATGGGATGGATGTGTGTGATCGTAGATGGAATGATTGTGGTTGATGTATGGATGGATTGGATGTGTGGTTCATGTATAGATGGATGATATGTGGTTGATGTATGGATGGATGATGTGTGGTTGATGTATAGATGGATGATATGTGGTTGATGTATGGATGGATGATGTGTGGTTGATGTATAGACGGATGATGTGTGGTTGATGTATAGATGGATGATGTGTGGTTGATGTATAGATGGATGATGTGTGGTTGATGTATGGATGGATGATGTGTGGTTGATGTATAGATGGATGATGTGTGGTTGATGTATAGACGGATGATGTGTGATTGATGTATGTTTCATGGTAGGCTGTATGTACTGTATATCATTACACTACCAGTGTTAACACCAGACCATGTACTGTATATCATTACACTACCAGTGTTAACACCAGACCATGTACTGTATATCATTACACTGCTAGTGTTAACACCAGACCATGTACTGTATATCATTACACTACCAGTGTTAACACCAGACCATGTACTGTATATCATTACACTACCAGTGTTAACACCAGACCATGTACTGTATATCATTACACTACCAGTGTAACACCAGACCATGTACTGTATATCATTACACTACCAGTGTAACACCAGACCATGTACTGTATATCATTACACTACCAGTGTTAACACCAGACCATGTACTGTATATCATTACACTACCAGTGTTAACACCAGACCATGTACTGTATATCATTACACTGCCAGTGTTAACACCAGACCAAGCAGCAGAGGTATCGATGTTGACAAGTGACCGAGACAGAGACACAGATCGGCATGAATGTATTCTCTGATTTGGTATGCGAGTTTCAGTGTTTGTCTGGTTTGACTGGATATTCCAACCCCTTCATCACCAGATCAACGAGATAAGCCACTGAGACACATTCAGGCCTGTCTGGGACCGGAAGCTGTCAGGGGGAAAAGAGATTTGTGGTTGAGGTTGAGGTTGAGGTTAGGAGGAAGCCAACCCACAGTATAATGGACTGTAATTCAGATCCACACTAGGACTGGAGCCAGGCCAGACACTCTAAATACTAAGCCCAGTTACTGGCCACTTAAAGGGGACACAATCATAAAACCCAACCTGTGTCCCATGTGGCACCCTATTCCCTAATTAGTGCACTACTTAATGCGTTAGCTTATGACATTGACGCTTTACTTCCTTGTGAGCTCATGTGTTCCGTTCGCATTCAACCAATAAGCTTCTACGACAGGTTGCCAAGTCAGCCCCACGACTAAAACTGTTGAACACGTGTGCCATCCACGTCACAGCAGTGCATGAGGGAACACACACACAGCACTTCAACACATAACTGAACTTTGCAATACATATGTGTTCATTTGTGTAAAATGGGATTGGACATGAAAGTACACAGAACCCCATTATATTGTGGTAGGTCTCCCTTGTAAAATGGGATTGGACATGAAAGTACACAGAAGCCGATTATATTGTGATAGGTCTCCCTTGTAAAAGAGGTATTCTGACCTCTATGGGACTTCCTGGATAAATCAAAGTTCAATAAAAACTAAAGGTTGCAGGCCACTCACCTCGTAAACAGAGGAAGGTGAGGAAGTCCTCGGTCTTGGGCTTGCGTCTGGTGAGGTCGCTGAGGGGGGAGGTGGGGCTGGGGGGCAGTAGGGTCTCAGACAGCTTGACTGGTGTGGCAATGGGGGAGCTGGGCTGAGACTGGGCAAACTTCCTCTGAGCCTGCAGCCGCGGTCTAGCAAGGGAGAGGAGAGACATTTGTACATATACATTCTATGGGCCCTGGTCATAAACCAGTGCACTGAATAGGGAATATGGTGTCAGAATAGGGACTCAGATTAAGAAGAGATGAGACAGATATCAATATTACGCTGAAGAACCAATTGATTCATTGGGGCAATAAATGGAAGTAATTAGAATATCCCTGCCTTCAGTTGATAAGCTCCCTCTCTCTCTTCAGTTGATACGCTCTCTCTCTCTCTTCAGTTGATAAGCTCCCTCTCTCTCTTCAGTTGATAAGGTCTCTCTCTCTCTCTTCAGTTGATAAGCTCCCTCTCTCTCTTCAGTTGATAAGGTCTCTCTCTCTCTCTTCAGTTGATACGCTCCCTCTCTCTCTTCAGTTGATAAGCTCTCTCTCTCTTTAGTTGATAAGCTCCCTCTCTCTCTTCAGTTGATAAGCTCTCTCTCTCTCTTCAGTTGATAAGCTCTATCTCTAAGTGTGATCTCAGCATCTCCCTCATGACTAAATTAGGTCAATACTACCCCCAGAGCTCTGGTCAAAAGTAGTGCACTATGCAGGCAATAGGGTGCCATTTGGAACGCACATTGTCTTTTGGTGGGCTTTGCTTTCAGGACCACAGAAACACTGCCTGTTACAGAAACACAGACTGTCACAAACCCTGCCTGTTCTTTTTGATTGTTTTAATATGATAAAAACTGTTGTAAAAACATTGGTTGATTTTTAATTAGATCTAGGCTTGACAGAATGAAGCAACAGAATAGCTGGCTGTCACACAGATCGGTCTGATTGTCTGCCAATAGGAGACAGCCGGTGGACAGCTGTCAGAGTGGTGTAGGTGGATGATAGGAATCAGGCGCAGGAAACCAGGAGGACGTCAACAGAACTTTACTTAGTCCAAACAACAGAATACGTCGCCAACCCAACCGGGTGGCGCGAACAATTACGCACGAAAATACACAGTGCGAGAAAAATAAGGAAAAGCGCACACAGTGCGAGCTCTCGAAATAACACAACGAGAGAACAAACTCGATGAGGCAGGCTGACAACAACAATTACGCATAACACCTGACCCAAACCAACAAACTAAATAAGGGGAACAATCAAGACACAAATAAGGGACAGGTGTTAAGAACAGGCAAAACCAAAAGAACAAGAAACATAGAACGGTGGCAGCTAGTACTCCGGAGACGACGACCGCCGAAGTCCGCCCGAACAAGGAAGAGGAGCAGCCTCGGCCGAAACCGTGACAGTACCCCCCCCTTGACGCGCGGCTCCAGCCGTGCGCCGACCCGGAGCTCGAGGACGACCCGGACGACGCGGAGCAGGGCGCGCAGGATGACCCCGATGGAAATCGGTCAGTAGGGACTGGTCTAACACGTCCCTCCTTGGCACCCAGCACCGCTCCTCCGGACCGTACCCCTCCCACTCCACGAGATATTGAAGACCCCCCATCCGGCGTCTAGAATCCAGGATGGACCTCACGGTGTACGCCGGAGCCCCCTCGATGTCCAACGGGGGCGGAGGAGTCTCCTCAATCTCAAAGTCCTGGAGTGGACCAGCTACCACCGGCCTGAGGAGAGACACATGGAACGAGGGGTTAATATTCTTGTAGTCAACAGGTAGTTCTAACCTATAACTCACCTCGTTCAATCTCCTCAGGACTTTAAACGGCCCCACAAACCGCCGACCCAGCTTCCGGCAGGGCAGGCGGAGGGGCAGGTTTCTGGTTGAGAGCCAGACTCGATCTCCAGGTACGTACACTGGCCCCTCACTGCGGTGTAGGTCGGCGCTCGTCTTCTGTCGACGTATGGCACGCTGCAGATGGACGTGTGCAGCGTCCCACGTCTCCTCCGAGCGCCTTACCCACTCATCCACAGCGGGGGCCTCGATCTGGCTCTCATGCCATGGTGCCAGCACCGGCTGGTACCCCAACACACACTGAAACGGGGTTAGTTGGGTGGAGGAGTGGCGAAGAGAGTTCTGTGCCATCTCGGCCCAGGGCACATATCTCGCCCACTCCTCCGGCCGGCCCTGACAGTATGACCTCAGAAACCTACCCACATCCTGGTTGACACGTTCAACCTGCCCATTACTCTCCGGGTGGTAACCCGAGGTAAGGCTTACCGACACCCCCAACCGTTCCATAAATGCCCTCCACACTCTAGAGGTGAACTGGGGGCCTCGGTCAGACACTATATCCTCGGGTACCCCGTAATGCCGGAAGACATGGGTGAACAGAGCCTCAGCGGTCTGTAGGGCAGTGGGTAGACCCGGCATGGGAAGGAGACGACAGGCCTTCGAGAACCTATCCACAACGACCAGGATGGTAGTATTCCCCTGTGAGGGGGGAAGGTCGGTAACAAAATCCACCGAGAGGTGGGACCAGGGTCGTTGTGGAATAGGCAGGGGTTGTAACTTACCCCTGGGCAAATGTCTGGGCGCCTTACACTGGGCACACACCGAACAGGAGGAGACATAAATCCTCACATCCCTAGCTAACGTTGGCCACCAGTACTTCGTGCTAAGGCAGTGCACTGTCCGGCCGATACCCGGATGGCCAGAGGAGGGGGACGTATGAGCCCAACAAATGAGGCGATCGCGTATCTCGAGCGGAACGTACGTCCGACCCACAGGACACTGAGGAGGACTCGGGTCGGTGCGTAACGCCCGCTCGATCTCACCATCAACCTCCCACACCACCGGAGCAACCAGACAAGACTCCGGTAGTATGGGCGTGGACTCAACTGACCTCTCCTCTGCGTCATACCGCCGGGACAGAGCATCTGCCTTCCCGTTCTGGGAACCCGGGATGTATGTGATCTTAAACACAAACCGGGCCAGGAACATAGTCCAACGAGCCTGGCGAGGATTCAGTCTCCTAGCTGCCCGGATGTACTCCAGGTTACGATGGTCAGTTTGAATGAGGAAAGGGTGTTGAGCCCCCTCGAGCCAATGCCGCCACACCTTTAGGGCCTGTACCACGGCTAACAGCTCCCTGTCTCCTACGTCATAATTCCGCTCCGCCGGACTGAGCTTCTTAGAGTAGAACGCACAGGGACGGAGTTTAGGTGGAGTACCAGAACGCTGGGAAAGAACGGCCCCTATCCCGGCCTCTGACGCGTCCACCTCTACTTGGAACGGTAAAGAGGGATCCGGATGCGCCAACACCGGCGCCGAGGTAAACAGGTCCTTCAGTCTCCCAAATGCCCTGTCCGCCTCAGCTGACCACCGCAAGCGCACCGGACCCCCCTTTAACAGAGACGTTATGGGAGCTGCCACCTGTCCAAAACCCCGGATAAACCTCCGGTAGTAATTCGCAAAACCCAAGAACCGTTGCACCTCCTTCACAGTGGTTGGGGTCTGCCAATTACGCACAGCTGACACCCGGTCTACCTCCATCTTCACTCCTGACGCAGATAACTGGTAACCCAGAAAGGAGACCGACTTCTGAAAAAACAGACATTTCTCTGCCTTGACATATAGGTCATGCTCCAACAGCCTCCGCAATACTCGGCGCACCAGGGCTACATGCTCAGCACGGGTAGGACTATACACCAGAATGTCGTCGATGTACACAACCACTCCCTGTCCCTGCATGTCCCGGAAAATCTCATCAACGAAGGATTGGAAGACTGAGGGAGCATTCATCAACCCATATGGCATGACTAGATACTCGTAGTGCCCGGAAGTCGTGCTAAACGCTGTCTTCCATTCATCGCCCTTACGGATGCGCACCAAGTTATATGCGCTCCTAAGATCCAATTTTGTAAAGAACTGCGCACCGTGCAGTGACTCCGTCATAGTCGCAATCAGAGGAAGTGGATAGCTGTACTTCACTGTGATCTGATTGAGACCGCGGTAATCAATACACGGCCGCAGACCTCCATCCTTCTTCTTCACAAAAAAGAAACTTGAGGAAACGGGTGAAACGGAGGGCCGTATGTATCCCTGTCTAAGAGACTCAGAGATGTATGTCTCCATAGATTTCTTCTCCTCTTGAGACAAGGGATACACATGGCTCCGCGGGAGAGCTGCGCCTGACTGGAGATCTATCGCACAATCCCCCCGTCTATGAGGCGGCAGCTGCGCAGCCCTAGTCTTACTGAACGCCAATGCCAAATCCTCATACTCGGGGGGAATCTGCAGTGCTGGCATTAGATTCGGACTCTCCACCGAGGTCGCCCCTATGGAAACACCCAGACACCGCCCCTCACATTGAGCAGACCACCCTTTAAGAGCTTTCTCTCGCCACCCAATAATAGGGTCATGAGTCATCAACCAGGGAAGACCCAGCACCACCGGATACGCAGGAGAGTCAATCAGATAAAGCTGGATTCTCTCCTCATGACCCTCCTGCGCCATCATCTGAAGTGGTGCTGTGACCTCCCTAATCAACCCAGACCCTAACGGACGGCTATCTAGGGCATGGACGGGGAAAGGCTTATCCACTGGAAGAAGGGGAATCCCTAACTCTAAACAGAACTGGCGATCTATAAAATTCCCAGCTGCGCCTGAATCTACCAGCGCCTTATGCTGGGAACGAGGTGCAACCTGTGGGAAACAAACAGGCAAGGTTAGGTGCACGACAGAAAGCTCTGGGTAAGCAGGGCGCCTACTCACCTGGGGGGACCCCCCCAATGCTAGACCTGCCATCTCCTCCCCTGGAGGACCCGCCCCAGCACCTAGCCGCAGTGTGCCCTCCACGACCACAGTTGGTGCAAGGGCCGGGTCCCCGTGGGCTCCTCCTCCTCCTTTCCCTAGCGCCAGCACCCCCGAGCTCCATAGGACTCGGCTCGGAGGCGCTGGAGAGTGGAATGGGCGAACCCCCCCCTCCGGGACGCCCACGGGTGGCGAGCAGGGTATCCAGCCGGATGGCCATGTCGACCAGTTGGTCGAAAGTTAACGACGTGTCCCTGCACGCCAACTCTCGCTGGACGTCCTCTCGGAGGCTGCAGCGGAAATGGTCAATATGGGCCCGCTCATTCCACCCTGCATCAGCCGCTAGGGTCCGGAACTCTAAGGCAAAGTCCTGTGCGCTCCTCATCCCCTGTCGGAGGTAGAACAGACGTTCCCCCGCCGCCTTCCCTTCTGGTGGATGGTCGAATACCGCACGGAAGCGGCGGGAGAACTCCGCATAGTTCGTGGTTGCGGCGTCCATTCTCCTCCACTCGGCGTTGGCCCACTCCAACGCCTTGCCGGTGAGACAGGAGATGAGGGCTGAGACGCTCTCGTGTCCCGAGGGCGCCGGGTGTACGGTGGCGAGGTAGAGCTCCACCTGCAGCAGGAACCCTTGACACCCGGCGGTGGAGCCGTCGTACGCCCTCGGGAGCGAGAGCCGAATCCCACTGGGTTCCGGAGATGAAACCGGAGGGCTGACCGCTGGAGCTGGGTCGGTGGTTGGAGGTGCGGGCACCTCGCTGGTCTCCCATCGGTGTAGAGTGTTCATCACCCTCTCCAGGGCGTGACAGACCTGGTTCATTCGGTCCTCCTGACCACGAAGACGTTCGTCCATATCGGCGGTCGGCGCGGTCGCTCCTGCTGATTCCATTTGGATGCGTAATTCTGTCAGAGTGGTGTAGGTGGATGATAGGAATCAGGCGCAGGAAACCAGGAGGACGTCAACAGAACTTTACTTAGTCCAAACAACAGAATACGTCGCCAACCCAACCGGGTGGCGCGAACAATTACGCACGAAAATACACAGTGCGAGAAAAATAAGGAAAAGCGCACACAGTGCGAGCTCTCGAAATAACACAACGAGAGAACAAACTCGATGAGGCAGGCTGACAACAACAATTACGCATAACACCTGACCCAAACCAACAAACTAAATAAGGGGAACAATCAAGACACAAATAAGGGACAGGTGTTAAGAACAGGCAAAACCAAAAGAACAAGAAACATAGAACGGTGGCAGCTAGTACTCCGGAGACGACGACCGCCGAAGTCCGCCCGAACAAGGAAGAGGAGCAGCCTCGGCCGAAACCGTGACAACAGCAGGAGGACAGTAGACTACACAACGTCCCTTCTTACCAGCCCATCCCTGGTCCAAACAGCAACACAGTGCCAGGACCACAACAGTCCAAACCTCCTGTCCTCATAGACACTCAGATCACAACACTATAACATATTGCTGTACTGAGTAAAAAAAGCTTTTATGTTGGGTTCTGATAGGGTAAGACCGTTGAACTAAACTCATGAGGCATTTATAACTTATATTATTCAAGAATCAATGAATATATATCATTAATGTAAAAGTCCAAAAATGTATGTTCCAATCCCAGATTAATAACCCTTTAACACAGTATAACCACATTGTAATACAGGGAGGGGTCACCTCTTTCTGACTGGATCGTCCCCTGAATACTCGCTGCTGCCATCGTTGCTTTGAGACGAACAGCGTGAGCACTCAGCTTTACCGTTGACTGCCAGTAGCCCTGCCTTTGGTCCTGATCGGCAGCCAAGGCTGTGTGGGAAAGAGCCTGTTGGTCAGGGAGAGGGACATCAATTACAATCAACTCTAACTGACAGAATCAAACTAACTGACACTAACTGACAGAATCAAACTAACTGACACTAACTGACAGAATCAAACTAACTGACACTAACTGACAGAATCAAATTAACTGACACTAACTGACAGAATCAAATTAACTGACACTAACTGACATAATCAAATTAACTGACACTAACTGACAGAATCAAACTAACTGACACTAACTGACAGAATCAAAATAACTGACACTAACTGACAGAATCCATTAAACTATTTTTTTTAAAGAGAAAGTAGGAAACTGTCAGGAGTGGGATTCAATCCCATGTTGCATATGGCAATTTCACTTTTTAACCATGCAGTTACATCTCAAGACGCAAAAGCAGTCATAATAAATGATCCCAAACCAGCAAGCAATCTGGCTTGGCAAGAAAACAGCCTTTCACCATTCCTAATTGTGTTTCTGTTCATTCTAAACAGACCGATGGTGTTACTGAATGTGATTATTGTTTACCATCTTTTTATCAGTACCAATACCAATTAAACATTTCAAATCTGATATACTTTTTAAGCACTGGTTTGCTATACTTGGCTGATGCATTTACTACTGTAATAACACTGGCTACAGCCAGCAAACTATCCAGGTTGAACAAAACCAAAAGCCCTGTCATTGTTCACCATTGTTCTAAGTAATTAATCACTGTTCATCATTGTTCACCATTGTTCTAAGTAATTCATCATTGTTCACCATTGTTCTAAGTAATTCATCATTGTTCATCATTGTTCATCATTGTTCTAAGTAATTAATCACTGTTCATCATTGTTCATCATTGTTCTAAGTTGTTGAGGACATAAATACATGCAGCGAACACAGAAACAGAAGTCATCCTTCAGTGTTGCTGTACTTGGGTCTGCTCACAGTGTCTGCGTCCCAAATGACACCCTATTCCCTATTTAGTGCACTACTTTGACCAGGGCCAATATCTCTCTGATAAAAAGTAATGCACTATATAGGGAATAGGGTGCCATTTGTCAGGGAATGGCTCCTTCCTGTAACAGAACACCAGGTACAGTTGGTGATTTGCCTACGGTCCCATTGATAATGAACTGAGGGATACTGAGCTGAATGTTAGAGCGCTTTAATACCGTAAGAGTGACAATCAGACTCACTCTGTCTGTCTGTGTGTGTGTGCGTGTTGGTGTGTGTGGGGGTGCATGTGCGTGTATGCCTGTGTGTGCGTGCGTGTGTGTGTGCACGTGCCTGTGTATGTTTGTGTGTTTGCGCGCGACTGCGTGTGTGTGCATGTGTCTCTCTATGCGTGTGTGTGTGTGTCTCTCTCTGCATGTGTGTGTGCATGTGTGTGCATGTGTGTGTGTGTGTGTGTGTGTGTGTGTGTGTGTGTGTGTGTGTGTGTGTGTGTGTCTCTGTGTGTGTGTGTCTCTCTCTCTCTCTGTGTGTGTGTGTGGTTGAGGGTTCAAGCTGTACAAATGATTGGCATGATCAATCAATCAATGAAATGTATTTATAAAGTCCTTTTTACATTAGCAGATGTTACAAAATGCTATACAGAAACCCAACCTAAAACCCCAAACTGCAAGCAATGCAGATGTAGAAGCACGGTGGCTAGGAAAAACTCCCTAGAAAGGCAGGAACCTAGGAAGAAACCTAGAGAGGAACCAGGCTCTGAGGGGTGGCGAGTCCTTTTCTGGCTGTGCCGGGTAGAAGAGTACAAGTAGATGAGTGGATGAGTGCAAATGAATAGTGCACATAGGAATGGGGAAAAGGAGGAAAAGTGATAACACAGAAATCTAATCTAAATTAGTCTGCCTTGAGAATTAATCTGAAACATTAGCACTTTTTGAGAATTCAAAAAACATATTTTAGATATTAGATATTTGTGTGAAAATATGATATTTTCTGTGCAGGAATGCTGTGCGTTGGCTCTTAGCGGTGTTACACCCAGAGATAATAATAGCCTCCTCCTCTTCCTTGCACAGGGAGATTCCTGCTGAGGTTCAGAAGTGGCCTGGAGTGGCATCGTGGCTAGGCTGAGTTGAGCACAGCACTTCATATCCTGACTCAAATGCCAATCAGTCACAAATGTCAGAACAGAGTCTGAACAGAAAGTGAACAAAGGGAAAAGAGGGATGCGTTCCAAATGGCACCCTATTCCCTACGTAGTGCACTACTTTTGACCAGGGCCCATAGGGAAAAGGGCCTAAATAGGGAAAATGGTGCCATTTGGAACGCAGGCAGGGAAAATAGGAATTCCCTCCCATCTTATCACTGTGGGTAAACGGCCAGAGAATAGATGTTACTGTGGGTAAACGGCCAGAGAATAGATGTCACTGTGGGTAAACGGCCAGAGAATAGATGTTACTGTGGGTAAACGGCCAGAGAAGAGATGTTACTGTGGGTAAACGGCCAGAGAAGAGATGTTACTGTGGGTAAACGGCCAGAGAAGAGATGTTACTGTGGGTAAACGGCCAGAGAAGAGATGTTACTGTGGGTAAACGGCCAGAGAAGAGATGTTACTGTGGGTAAACGGCCAGAGAATAGATGTTACTGTGGGTAAACGGCCCAGAGAAGAGATGTTACTGTGGGTAAACGGCCAGAGAAGAGATGTTACGTGGGTAAACGGCCAGGAGAAGAGATGTTACTGTGGGTAAACGGCCAGAGAAGAGATGTTACTGTGGGTAAACGGCCAGAGAAGAGATGTTACTGTGGGTAAACGGCCAGAGAAGAGATGTTACTGTGGGTAAACGGCCAGAGAATAGATGTTACTGTGGGGTAAACGGCCAAGAGAGATGTTACTGTGGGTAAACGGCCAGAGAAGAGATGTTACTGTGGGGTAAACGGCCAGAGAAGAGATGTTACTGTGGGTAAACGGCCAGAGAAGAGATGTTACTGTGGGTAAACGGCCAGAGAATAGATGTTACTGTGGGTAAACGGCCAGAGAAGAGATGTTACTGTGGTAAACGGCCAGAGAAGAGATGTTACTGTGGGTAAACGGCCAAGAGAAGAGATGTTACTGTGGGGTAAAACGGCCAGAGAAGAGATGTTACTGTGGGTAAACGGCCAGAGAAGAGATGTTACTGTGGGTAAACGGCCAGAGAAGAGATGTTACTGTGGGTAAACAGCCAGAGAAGAGCTGTTACTGTGGGTAAAACAGCCAGAGAAGAGATGTTACTGTGGGTTAAACAGCCAGAGAGAGATGTCACTGTGGGTAAACGGCCAGAGAAGAGATGTCACTGTGGGTAAACGGCCAGAGAAGAGATGTCACTGTGGGTAAACAGCCAGAGAAGAGATGTTATTGTGGGTAAACGGCCAGAGAAGAGCTGTTACTGTGGGTAAACAGCCAGAGAAGAGATGTTACTGTGGGTAAACAGACAGAGAAGAGATGTTACTGTGGGTAAACAGCCAGAGAAGAGCTGTTACTGTGGGTAAACAGACAGAGAAGAGATGTTACTGTGGGTAAACGGCCAGAGAAGAGATGTTACTGTGGGTAAACAGCCAGAGAAGAGATGTTACTGTGGGTAAACGGCCAGAGAAGAGATGTCACTGTGGGTAAACAGCCAGAGAAGAGATGTTATTGTGGGTAAATGGCCAGAGAAGAGATGTCACTGTGGGTAAACGGCCAGAGAAGAGATGTTATTGTGGGTAAACACAGAGAAGAGAAGCCAAACTGGAAGCATCTAATTGTGTATGCAGCATTCACTTCCTGCTCCATTTGTGTTATTCCCAGATGAGTGTATCTTGTCTTCAGAGCTTGTCTGTCTGAATAGCATGATGCTTTTCTACCGTTAGTTTGTGTCTAGGTGTGCATCCCAAATGGTACCCTATTCCTTTTATAGTGAACCACCAACTCTACGGGTCGTGGTCAAAAGTAGTGCACTACATATGGGGAATAGGGTTCCATTTGAGATGCATCCTAAGTGTTTACAGCCTGTCTGACTCTGAATGGCTTTACAGCCTGTCTGACTCTGAATGGCTTTACAGCCTGTCTGACTCTGAATGGCTTTACAGCCTGTCTGACTCTGAATGGCTTTACAGCCTGTCTGACTCTGAATGGCTTTACAGCCTGTCTGACTGAATGGCTTTACAGCCTGTCTGACTCTGAATGTGTAGGTGTGTTAGAAAGACTGAATCCTTTCATCTTTGCTTTCGCATAAAACAGTCTAAAGCCTTTCTCCTGCCTGCTCAGAATACTCTATATCCATCCATCTCTGGTGTTTGTCTGGATAGGCCATGTCCTGTGGTGTTTACCTGATAGGCCAGTCCTGTGGTGTTTACCTGGATAGGCCAGGTCCTGTGGTGTTTACCTGATAGGCCAGGTCCTGTGGTGTTTACCTGGATAGGCCAGGTCCTGTGGTGTTTACCTGGATAGGCCAGGTCCTCTGGTGTTTACCTGGATAGGCCAGGTCCTGTGGTGTTTCCCTGGATAGGCCAGGTCCTGTGGTGTTTACCTGGATAGCCGGTCCTGTGGTGTTTCCCGGGATGGGAAATTTCCTTTTTTGGGGGTTTATTGGAAAAGGGCCAGGCCCCTTTGGTTTTTTACTTGGTTTGGGCCCCGGCCCTGTGGGGGTTTCCCCCTGGATAGGCCGGGTTCCTGTGGTGTTTCCCGGGAATGGGCCCCGGCCCTTTCTGGTTTGTTTACCGGGATAGGCCGGCCCTTGGGTTTTTTTCTGGTAGGCCAGGCCCCCTTGGTGTTTCCCCCCTGGATAGGCCAGGTGCTGTGGTGTTTCCTTTAAAGGGGCCCGGTTCCTCTGGTTTTTTTACCTGGATAGGCCAGACCCCCGGGGGTTTGTTTACCTGGTGGGCCCAGGCCCTTGGTGTTTTTTTTTTTGGAAAATGGGCCCGGGTTTCCTCTTTTTTTTTCCCCTGGAAGGCCGGGGTCCTTGGTTTTTTCCCGGTTTGGGCCAGGCCCCTGTGGTTTTTTCCCGGGATAGGCCGGTTTTGTGGGTTTACCTGGTAGGCCGGGTTTCCTGTGGTGTTTACCTGGTGGGGCCAAGGTCCTCGGTGTTTACCTGGAAGGCCGGGTTTTCCTTTTGGTGTTTCCCCGGGATGGCGGGCCCTCGGGTTTTTTTCTGGATAGGCCAGGCCCTCTTTTTTTTACTTGGATGGGGCCAGGCCCTGTGGTTTTTTACCTGGTAGGCCAGGCCCTCTGGTGTTTCCCGGGAAAGGGGCCGGGTCCTCTGGTTTTTACCTGGATAGCCGGGTCCTGTGGTTTTTTTCCCTGGAAAAGGCCCAAGGTCCTTGGTTTTTTAGGGGGGAAAACCCCAAGGTCCTGAGGTTTTTTACCGGGATGGGAAAGGGGGCCCCCTTTTGGTTTTTTTATTTTGGATAGGCCAGGTCCTCTGGTTTTATTTGGGAAATGGGCCCGGGCCCCCTGTGGTGTTTACCGGGATAGGCCAGGTCCTGTGGTTTTTTACGGATGGGGCCAGTCTGTGGTGTTTACCGGGATAGGCCGGTCCTTTGGGGGTTTACCCAAAGGCCAGGTCCTGTGGTTTTTATTTGGATGGGCCCCGGCCTTGGTTTTTACCCGGATGGGGCCAGATCCTTGGTTTTTACCCGGTTTGGGCCTGTGGTGTTTCCCCTGGAAGGCCAGGTCCTGTGGTTTTTAAACTTGGAAAGGGGCCAGGCCCTCTGGGTTTACCTGGATGGGGCCGGTCCTGTGGGTTTTTACCTGGATAGGCCGGGGGTTTTTTGGTGGGTTTCCCCGGGAAGGCCGGTCCGTGGTTTTTAAACCGGGAAATAGGCCAGGTCTTTGGGGGTTTTTACCTGGATAGGCCAGGCCCTCGGGTTTTTAAACCTGGATGGGCCCCGGGTTTCCTTTTGGTGTTTACCCGGAGGGGCCAGGCCCGGTGGTTTTTTCCCGGTAGGCCAGGTTTGGGGGTGTTTACCGGGGTACCCGGGGTCCTGGGGTTTTTTTCCCCGGGATGGGCCCAGGCCTCGGGTTTTTTTAAATTTGGATAGGCAAGGCCCTGAGGTTTCCCTGGAAAAGGCCCCGGTCCGGTTTGGGTGTTTATTTTGGATAGGCCAGGCCCCTTTTGGTTTTTTACTTGGTAGGCCAGGTCGGGGGTTTTCCCGGAAAAGGCCAGGTCCGGGGGTGTTTATTTGGAGGGGGCCAAAGGTCTCTTTGGGGTTTTACCTGGAAAAGGCCAGGCCCTTTGGTGTTTCCCAAAAGGCCAGGCCCCTGGGGGTGTTTATTTGGATAGGCCGGCCCTCTGGTGTTTCCCCGGATAGGCCGGGTTTCCTGTGGTGTTTACCCGGATAGGCCAGGTCCTGTGGTGTTTACCTGGATAGGCCAGGTCCTGTGGTGTTTTACTTGGATAGGCCAGGTCCTCTGGTGTTTTACCTGGATAGGCCAGGTCCTGTGGTGTTTACCTGGATAGGCCAAGGTCCTGTGGGTGTTTGACCTGGATAGGCCAGGGTCCTGTGGTTGTTTACCTGGATAGGCCAGGTCTTGTGGTGTTTTACATGGATAGGCCAGGTCCTCTGGTGTTTACCTGGATAGGCCAGGTCCTGTGGTGTTTACCGGATAGGCCAGGTCCTGTGGGGTTTACCCAGATAGGCCAGGTCTTGTGGTGTTTACCTGGATAGGCCAGGTTCCTGTGGTGTTACCTGGATAGCCCAGGTTCCTGTGGTGTTTACCTGGATAGGCCAGGTTGGAAAATTATAATATTGGTACTATATGAACAGGAGGCAATTTCACAAGGAGGTAAACATGTATTTGTGAATACCAAAATTAGCCTATTCTTTCTCACTTCTTCTATCCTCATGGAACCAGACTACCCGCTGCGCTCACATTTCGTTAAGTGAAACAGGTCTGGCTGGTTTTATGAGGCTAAAGAAACTAACTGTGCTGGAGAACCATTTAGTAACAAGTATGCTGTGGATGTGTTAGAAAGAGAAACAGTCAACACAATTGTCATTTCTAAGGTACTGCAGGCTATTGTTGAAGGCCCAATGACAAAGGCTTCCTCCCAAATGGCACCCTTTTCTCCCATAGGGCTCTGGTCAAAAGTAGTGCACTATATAGGGAATAGGGTGCCATTTGGTATGTGACCATTGTGACGATCAGAGCTCCAGGCGAGAGACTCACCATTGATATTTCCTGTGCCGAGGCCATCTGTCACCTTGTTCCTCTGGGTGTTCTTAAACTCCTTCAGGGAAAGGTAAAGCACCTTCCTCACCTCGCGCTCCTCTAACCATGGGATCCCATCGCTGTCGTCCTGAAAAAGGAAGCGGGACAGACAGGGGTTAGCAATGTGGGCTTACTGTAGCAACGCCAAGGTCTCAGAGAGGGAAGAACATCATAACTGTTTTCACAACTTGTGTATGTCACAAACTGGCACCCTTATTCCTTATATAGTACACTACTTTGGACTAGAGCCCCGGTCAAAAGTAGTGCACTATATAGGGAATAGGGTGCCATATTGGGCTGAAACCTTTCACGCCACTGAATCCATTCAGCAGATGAACTGATTTCTTCTGACAGTGCAAGATGTGAAAAACTGCAAAGTCAACAATGCTCTGCAGTATCTATGGCCTAACACACACACACACACACACACACTGGGCCAGGTAAGAGCCAACAATTAGTCACATAATATAATGCTTTCATTTGTCCCTGTCAAAGCAAGTCCTGCAGGCTCTAGTTTTATCTTATCTTGATTATTGTCCAGTCATGTGGTCAGGTGCTGCAAAGAAAGACCTAGTTAAGATGCAGCTGGCCCAGAACAGAGCGGCACGTCTTGCTCTTCACTGTAATCAGAGGGCTAATATCAATACTATGCATGCCAGTCTCTCCTGGCTAAAAGTAGAGAAGAGACTGACTGCATCACTTCTTCTTTTTTTATAAGAAACAATGTGTTGGAAATTCCAAATTGTTTGCACACACACACTTTTCACAGTACCCAAATGCAGAACAAATTCAAGAAAGCATACAGTATTATATAGAGCCATGATTGCATGGAACTCCGTTCCATCTCATCTTGCTCAAATGAACAGCAAACCTGGTTTCAAAAAAACAGATAAAGCAACACCTCACGGCACAACGCCTCTCCCCTATTTGACCTAGATATTTTGTGTGTATCTACTGATATGTAGACTACGTGTGACGTTTTAAAATGTATGTAGTTCTGTCCTTGAGCTGTTCTTGTCTGTTAATGTTCTGTATTATGTCATGTTTCATGTTTTGTGTGGACCCCAGGAAGAGTAGCTGCTGCTTTTGCAACAGCTAATGGGGATCCTAATAAAATACCAAAATACCAAATACCTGTCACCTTTAGCTGATCCAGTCCTACACAGAGTGGGGTCCCTTTCAGTTGTGGGGGGTTGCGTCCCAAATGTCACCCTATTCCCTATATAGTGCACTACTTTTTACCAGAGCTCTATGGACCTTGGTCAAAAGTACTGCACTATGTAGGAAATAGGGTACTATTTGGGACACAGCCTTGCTCTACACATCTCCTAACCATTGGACCTTGGATGCAGAAATTACCCAGAGAGCTTTTCAGGAACAAAGCATTGAAGCAATACCCTGGGTAAGATGTATGGCAGGCATTCAGGCAGCCTACCTGTGCGTGACTACAGAGCTGGGCTACATCCAAAATGGCACCCTGTTCCCTATATAGTGCACTACTTTTTGACCAGGGCCCATAGGGCTATGGTCAAAAGTAGTGCACTATGTAGGGAATAGGGTGCCATTTGGGACACAAACTCAGTTTGAAATAGTATTTGTTCAGCTGGAGAGCACCTGGCTGAAATGTCTATGACACATCAAATCAAAGAGACTGGACATAGCTGTTCAAAGGGAAAAGAAGGAACCAAACTGAACGTAGGGGTTTCCTCTCTCTCTCTCAGCTAGTCAACTTTCATCTGGGTACTGACAAAGTGGAAATGAACCCAGAACAACACTTACACTAACGCATGCATCATTTAGACTAATGCATCCTGTGCGGTGTATCTGTCTTGAGACTCAAGCCCCGGCACCACAGTAGTAAGTCTAACTAAGCACCAGTCAAGGCCAGCCAGTACAAAGAGAGAGTCATTACAAACACTTGATATGAAATGCTGTTGAAACTTGATATCATCTGTGAGAGAGAAGCCATAGGGCACGTGTCAGAGAGGGTTTCCAACAGGCTGGGTTGTGTTATTATAGCACACATTGCCTGTCGATCGTGTCCCAAATGGCACCCTATTCCCTATATAGTGCACTACTTTTGACCATAGGGCTCTGGGTGCTATTTGGGACGCAAGCTACAGTGTTTTGAACAGAATACATTCCTCCCCCAGAAGCTGTTCCTGTGTGGATCTCCTCTCTTCCTGTTCCACATATGTAGGCTATTCCAGCTGAACAGCATGACCCACATCTCTACACACACACCGACACACACACACACACTCACACAAACAGACGGACACACACACACACACACACACACACTCACACTCACACCACACACGGATGCACACACTCACATTGAAAATCCCATATAGCACTGTGTCTAAGAATTCCTTTCACGTTTACTGTAGCAGTGCTGCTGCAGCGGAGGAGTTTCTTGGAGTGACGGAGCCATACCATGACGACCATGAATCAGAGTCTTTGTGACATCACACATGCACACACACACACACACACACACACAGGTAATAAAAACCCTTCTGGCCTTTAGCCAATAAGTCAAGTCTTCTCAAACAGTGATAATAGTAGCCTGCTGAAAGTCCCAGCAGAAATGAGTGGGCTCAGTAGCCTGCTGAATGTCCCCGGCAAAAAATGAGTGGGCTACAGTAGCCCGCTGAATGTCCCAGCAGAAATGAGTGGGCTACAGTAGCCTGCTGAATGTCCCGCAGAAATGAGTGGGCTACAGTAGCCTGCTGAATGTCCCAGCAGAGAATGAGTGGGCTACAGTAGCCTGCTGAATGTCCCAGCAGAAATGAGTGGGCTACGTAGCCTGCTGAATGTCCCAGCAGAAATGAGTGGGCTACAGTAGCCTGCTGAATGTCCAGCAGAAATGAGGGGCTACAGTAGCTGCTGAATGTCCCAGCAGAAATGAGTGGCTACAGTAGCCTGCTGAATGTCCCAGCAGAAATGAGGGGCTACAGTAGCCTGCGAATGTCCAGCGAAATGAGTGGGCTACAGTAGCTCAATGTCCCAGCAGAAATGAGTGGGCTACAGTAGCCCCGCTACAAGTATCATTACAGGAGTTTGTTCAGGCTTTTCTCTTATAAGAGTGGGAGTGATCAAGCCTAGCCTAAAAACATGCAATCTGCTTTAGCGTCTGCTAAATGTTATACATTATACATTGTTTTCTCCCAAAGCACTCTTATAAGAGTGAGACATGTGATCTCAACCTGGTCTCAGAGCATTTCGTATTATTCTGTACGTAAATCCCAGACTCTCCATTTAGTATGATATGTTACGTTTCGTATGGTATGTATTAATTTGTGGATGTCCATCACCCATTTCGTATGATACTGTATGTTACGAATTACAATTCATATTATATGTTACGAATTCTCAAAATGTACATTATGTTACAAATTAGCAAAACGTGTTAAATGTTAGAAATTTACAGAATGTATGGTATGTTACGAATTCTAGCTAGGTGGCTAGGTGGCTAACGTTAGCTAGCTGGCTAACGTTCACTAGGCTCGGGGTTAGGGGTTAGGGTTAAGATTAAGTTAAGGAGTTAGGTTAAAGGGTTAAGGTTAGGAGAAGGGTTAACTAAAAGGGTTATGGTTAGGGTTAGGGGAAGGGTTAGCTAACATGCTAAGTAGTTGAAAAGTAGTTAAAAAGTAGTAAGTAGTTGAAAAGTTACTAATTAGCTAAAATGCTAAAGTTGTCCGTGATGAGATTCTAACTTGCAACCTTTGTATTGCTAGACGTTCTCGTTACACGCCCACCCATCAACCTTTGTATTGCTAGACGTTCTCGTTACACGCCCACCCATCAACCTTTGTATTGCTAGACGTTCTCGTTACACGCCCACCCATCAACCTTGTATTGCTAGACGTTCTCGTTACACGCCCCCCATCACCTTTGTATTGCTAGACGTTCTCGTTACACGCCCACCCATCAACCTTTGTATTGCTAGACGTTCTCGTTACACGCCCACCCATCAACCTTTGTATTGCTAGACGTTCTCGTTACACGCCCACCCAACAACCTTTGTATTGCTAGACGTTCTCGTTATATTCCCACACAACAACCTTTGTATGCTAGACGTTCTCGTTATATGCCCACCCAACAACCTTTGTATTGCTAGACGTTCTCGTTTATGCCCACCCAACAACCTTTGTATTGCTAGACGTTCTCGTTATATGCCCACCAACACCTTTGTATTGCTAGACGTTCTCGTTATATGCCCACCCAACAACCTTTGTATTGCTAGACGTTCTCGTTATATGCCCACCCAACACCTTTGGTATTGCTAGACGTTCTCGTTATATGCCCACCCAACAACCTTTGTATTGCTAGACGTTCTCGTTATACGCCCACCCAACAACCTTTGTATTGCTAGACGTTCTCGTTATATGCCCACCCAACAACCTTTGTATTGCTAGACGTTCTCGTTATATGCCCACCCATCAACCTTTGTATTGCTAGACGTTCTCGTTATATGCCCACCCATCAACCTTTGTATTGCTAGACGTTCTCGTTATATGCCCACCCAACCAACCTTTGTATTGCTAGAAACGTTCTCGTTATATGCCCACCCATCAACCTTTGTATTGCTAGACGTTCTCGTTATATGCCCACCCAACAACCTTTGTATTGCTAGACGTTCTCGTTATACGCCCACCCAACAACCTTTGTATTGCTAGACGTTCTCGTTATATGCCCACCCATCAACCTTTGTATTGCTAGACGTTCTCGTTATATGCCCACCCAACAACCTTTGTATTGCTAGACGTTCTCGTTATATGCCCACCCAACAACCTTTGTATTGCTAGACGTTCTCGTTATATGCCCACCCATCAACCTTTGTATTGCTAGACGTTCTCGTTATATGCCCACCCAACAACCTTTGTATTGCTAGACGTTCTCGTTATACGCCCACCCATCAACCTTTGTATTGCTAGACGTTCTCGTTATATGCCCACCCATCAACCTTTGTATTGCTAGACGTTCTCGTTATATGCCCACCCAACAACCTTTGTATTGCTAGACGTTCTCGTTAATACGCCCACCATCAACCTTTGTATTGCTAGACGTTCTCGTTATATGCCCCCCATCACCTTTGTATTGCTAGACGTTCTCGTTATATGCCCACCAACCACCTTACTTCAGTTTTTTGCCTTAAGTAACCATCTGTCTATGTAAACATACCAATCGTAACATTTCGTACAAATGTTAGTGTCCCGGATTTACATTTACTATGCTACGTTTAGTCAGTACTGTGTCTGTGTATAATAATACATTTTATTTTAAGTGCTTTTCACGACACCCAAAGTCACTTACATACACAAGAAAATCGGCAGGATAAATATAAGTAAACATGATGACAGACTAACCATGGAGAACACTAAACATGATGACAGACTAACCAAGGAGAACACTAAACATAATGACAGACTAACCATGGAGAACACTAAACATGATGAGAGACTAACCATGGAGAACACTAAACATGATGAGAGACTAACCATGGAGAACACTAAACATGATGACAGACTAACCATGGAGAACACTAAACGTGATGACAGACTAACCATTGAGAACACTAAACATGATGACAGACTAACCATGGAGAACACTAAACATGATGACAGACTAACCATGGAGAACACTAACATGATTGACAACCAACCATGAGAACACTAAACATTGACAGACTAACCCAGGGAGAACACTACTGACCCTACCATGGAGAACCACTAACATGATGACAGACCAAACCCATGGAGAACACTAAACATGATGACAGACTAACCAGGGAGAACACTAAACGTGATGACAGACTAACCATGGAGAACACTAAACATGATGAGAGACTAACCATGGAGAACACTAAACATGATGACAGACTAACCATGGAGAACACTAAACGTGATGACAGACTAACCATGGAGAACACTAAACATGATTACAGACTAACCCATTAGAGACACTAAACGTGATGACAGACTAACCATGGAGAACACTAAACATGATGACAGACTAACCAGGGAGAACACTAAACATGATGACAGACCTAACCATGGACACACTAAACATGATGACAGACTAAACATGGAGAACACTAAACATGATGACAGACCAACCATGGAAACACTAAACATGATGACAGACTAACCAGGGAGAACACTAAACATGATGACAGACTAACCATTGGAGAACACTAAACATGATGACAGACTAACCAGGGAGAACACTAACATGATGACAGACTAACCATGGAGAACACTAAACATGATGACAGACTAACCAGGAGAACACTAAACATGATGACAGACTAACCATGGAGAACACTAAACATGATGAGAGGACTAACCATGGATAACACTAACATTATGACAGACTAACCATGGAGAACACTAAACATGATGACAGACTAACCATGGAGAACACTAAACATGATGAGAGACTAACCAGGGAGAACACTAAACATGATGAGAGACTAACCATGGAGAACACTAAACTGATGACAGACTAAACCATGGAGAACACTAAACATGATGACAGACTAACCATGGAGAACACTAAATATGATGACAGACTAACCATGGAGAACACTAAACATGATGACAGACTAACCATGGAGAACACTAAACATGATGAGAGACTAACCATGGAGAACACTAAACATGATGACAGACTAACCATGGAGAACACTAAACAAGATGACAGACTAACCATGGAGAACACTAAACGTGATGACAGACTAACCATGGAGGAACACTAAACGTGATGACAGACTAACCATGGAGAACACTAAACGTGATGACAGACTAACCATGGAGAACACTAAACATGATGACCGACTAACCATGGAGAACACTAAACATGATGACAGACTAACCATGGAGAACACTAAACATGATGAGAGACTAACCCAGGGAGAACACTAAACATGATGACAGACTAAACCATGGAGAACACTAAACGTGATGACAGACTAACCATGGAGAACACTAAACATGATGACAGACTAAACCATGGAGAACACTAAACATGATGACAGACTAACCAGGGAGAACACTAAACATGATGACAGAACTAAACCCATGGAGAACACTAAACATGATGACAACTAACCATGGAGAACACTAAACGTGATGACAGACTAACCATGGAGAACACTAAACATGATGACAGACTAACCATGGAGAACACTAAACGTGATGACAGACTAAACCATGGAGAACACTAAACGTGATGACAGACTAACCAAGGAGAACACTAAACATGATGACAGACTAACCAGGAAGTGAACTAGAACGGAGGATAAAAGCTAAGACACAGAGAATCCGGGTAAACTGTGTGAAGAGGTGTGTCTTTAGTGTGGAATATGTGTATGGATTGTGAGGGTTCTGACATGGACAGGGAGGGAGGTAGTGGAGCAGCAGTGCTAAAATCCCGGTCCCCCA